GGCCGTACAGCAGGAGGGCGGTGGCGGGGCCCTTCCGTCCCAGCGCACATGTCTGGCGCGGCCTCGGCGAGGCGAGGGTAGGGCCCGCGAGCCGTGGCCACCCAGGCGGATGGGTGGAGAGTCGTGGAGAGGCCCGGGCGGCTCCGGTGCCCAGCGCAGCCTGCGCCGCCCCATCCCGGCGGCGAGGCCGGCCCGCTCGGCACCAGTTGCGTGCGCGGAAAGATGGCCGCTCCCCGGCCCTGCTGCAAGGAGCTCAAAATGGAGGACGCGGCGGCCCGGGAGAGCGGGCGGGTGAGTCACCCACACAAAGGAAAAAGGCCTTTCCCTCCTCGGCCGCCGCTTCCTGTGACCCTACGGTGTACCGGGCACCGTCTGGGCACCTTGATTACGTCTCAGCCTTTTGAATACGGCTTCCTTGGGAGGGGATTTTACGCGACGGAGTTTCCCCACACTTGGTGGGTGGAGACTGAAGAGTTAGGCCAGCTTGGCATTGGATGTAATTAATTCTCCTTGGAATTTGCCCTTTGAGTTTGGGTCATGGCTTGTTCTCAAGCCTCTCGGACTGGTTCAAAGGTTTTTTTTTTTTTCCCCTTCCATTTTAGGTGTTGTGAAAACCACCGCTAAGTCAGAGCCAAAATGGGAAAGGAAAAGACTCATATTAACATCGTCGTCATTGGACACGTAGATTCGGCCAAGTCCACTACTACTGGCCATGTGATCTACAAATGTGGTGGGATCGACAAAAGAACTATCGAAAAGTTTGAGAAGGAGGCTGCTGAGGTATGGACAAGAGCACTAAAGTAGTTGGCTAGCAAGAACATGAAGTGGTGAATTTTCCAAAAGCTAGATTACAGTATTAATAGTTTAGCTTCAAGTATATTGATGCTATAAAGCCACCTACGTCTAGCAGTTGTAAAGTACAGTTAACTATTTCCGCCAAATGAGCCAAGTAATTTCAGGTTGGGGTTTGATCATTTCAGAGTGATTAGGTAACCACTCTTAAAACTTTACAGATGGGAAAGGGCTCCTTCAAGTATGCCTGGGTCTTGGATAAACTGAAAGCTGAACGTGAGCGTGGTATCACCATTGATATCTCCCTGCGGAAATTTGAGACCAGCAAGTATTACGTGACTATTATCGATGCCCCAGGACACAGAGACTTTATCAAAAACATGATTACAGGCACATCACAGGTTTGTGAGTCTTTTCTATGCTGGTAAAGTGGTGGGTTTGTTTTTTGAAAAGTTTTTAACAGGATATGTCCTTGTTTTCTTTCAAAGGCTGACTGTGCTGTCCTGATTGTTGCTGCTGGTGTTGGTGAGTTTGAAGCTGGTATCTCCAAGAATGGGCAGACCCCATGAGCATGCTCTTCTGGCTTACACACTGGGTGTGAAACAACTGATTGTTGGTGTTAACAAAATGGATTCTTTTTTTTTTTTTTTTTTTTTTTTCCTTTTTGGT